CCCACTCACTCTCTGCCTCTGTCTCTCAAAATAAAATAGACATTAAAAAAAAACTTAAAAAAGGGGCGTCTGGGTGGCTTAGTCGGTTAAGCGTACGACTTTCGCTTAGGTCATGATCTCGCGGTTCGCGGGTTCGGGCCCCGCGTCGGGCTCTGTGCTGACTGCCAGCTCAGAGCCTGGAGCCTGTTTCAGTCTGTGACTCCCTCTCTCTCTGACCCTCCCCTGCTCACGCTGTCTCTCTCTCTCTCTCTCTCTCTCTCTCTCTCCTAGAAATAAATAAAACATTAAAAAAAAAAAACTTAAAAAAAAAAGATTGTCTAGAATGGTATACATCAACTAAAACAAAACTTTTTAAATTTTTTTGACCTAAATAAACTCAACACTTAAAATGTCTGAAAAGTTACTAATTCTGTTGATACGTCCTTGGTAAAATAAACATTTTCTCAAAAGTCCAAACAAGTTACACCCTATCATTGGATGTAACACTTAATTCCCAGCCACATGCCTAAGAACCGTACTCCCAGAAACTGTTATAAAGCATTCCGTGTCTAACATCACACCCCATACTTGTAACGGCAGAAACTCCTGCTATGCAGGGGAGGCCAACTCATGAGTTCCAGAGTTTGTATCACAGCCTCCCAAAACTGGACTTGCGGGGCACCTCAGTAGCTCAGTCATTTAAGCATCCAACTTTGGCTCAGGTCATGATCTCACAGTTCATGGGTTTGAGCCCTGCATCAGGCTCTGTGCTGACAGCTGAGCCTCTTCAGATTCTGTCTCCCTCTCTCTGCCCATCCCCCACTTGCTTTCTCTCTCCCTCTCTGTCTCTGTCTCTCTCAAAAATAAATAAACATTTTTAAAAACTGGACTTATGCTCGAAGCCCCCATTATTCTCACCAGTCTACTCTATGCAGCAATGTCTGCTGCTCAATCTACTGAGGTGCAAACTCATGAAAGACTGATACTCCCTGGGTGCCACCAAACCACTTTCCTGAAAGAGCCACTGCCCAAGAGTGCCCTTTCCTAAAGCAACCCAAATTCTAAGTGCCAGCACTACCAGTTCACCAATGCCATTGTCCACTCTGGATGCCATAGGAGTTTCAGTCAAACAATGCTTCTGTGCCCTTCTCGCTCTTTGCAAAGAATCTCTCTTTCTAGGACTTGGACTTGATTCCAAGTGAACCTGGGCCAGGGGCAATCTGGGCAGCAAACACTGTGCTGTACTTGGAATCAAGCCTTTGCTCAGACACTAGCCCACTGGGCTAGAACTAAGCTTGTAAGCTTTCATTCTCCCCACAAGGTCTGTGATGTGCACTAGAGCTTATGCCACAACTTCTCCACATACACCCCAATCTTAGGGAACATGTTGAGATTTCTAATCTAAGGGAGCTGGATATGAACTCCTAGCTCTTTAGATAGGAAGCATAGTTATGGGCATCATGATGAGCAAAGGAAAAGTGCTGGAGTTAGCCTTGCTATCCACTGCCCACAACTAGCAGGCAGTTGGCACAGCAATGAGCTGGATGAGTGGGTAATAGTTTAAAACAACAACAAACAGGGGCACCTGGGTGGCTCATTGGTTGAGTGTCCATCTTCAGCTCAGGTCACAATCTCAAGGTTTGTGAGTTCGAGCTCCACATTGGACTCACTGCTATCAGCATGGAGCCCACTTCGGATCATCTGTTTCCCTCTCTCTCTCTGCAACTCCACTGCTCACGCTCTCTCTCTCAAAAATAAATAGACATTTAAAAAAAGAAAAAACAACAAATAAATATGAAATACACAAAGTTACATCACATTTCTCAAGTAAATGCTTTCCAAATTAAAATGTTTAGGGTAGTTCATAAGAGATCTATAAATTCAGTACATAAATATTGGAACTATATAACATAGGGCACATGCCATACCCAATGTGAAAAGAGTTATCAAAGTAGTATTATATTCTCAGTTTTATAAACTTAACAGCAAAGATGATCATTCTTCCAATGAAGAAGTTTCTATTTGTCCATTAAAATTTTTTCCTTCTGGGGCACCTGGGTGGCTCAGTCGGTTGGGCCTCCCACTTTGGTTCAGGTCATGATCTCACGGTTTGTGGGTTCGAGCCCTGCATTGGGCTCAGTGCTGACAGCTAACTCAGAGCCTGGAGCCTGTCTTTGGATTCTGTGTCTCCCTCTCTCTCTGACCCTCCCCTGCTCATGCTGCCTCTCTCTCTCTCAAAAATAAAACATTTAAAAACATTTTTTTCCTTCTGATGAAGAGTGAAGAGTAAATCCAGAAGATTCCACTGTAGAAAACAGTATTTCTGATATTTTCAAAAACATACCAATGGTAAGTTATAGACTTTTCTGCCACCTCACAAATATGAAAAGTGTTTTTGAAATCCTGAAAACAAAATGCATGTTTTACCCCAGCCTCACAACTTTCTACTAGTGTAACGTGGGCAGACCTATTAGCCTTTCTCAGGCAACACTGACTTCTCTGTAAGATGAGGCTAAAACTACCTCTTCCCTGATGCTTTTGGTGATACTAAATGAAATGAGTTTAAAAGTATTTTCAAAACTATGAGGTACATTATAAGCACACGGCATCATCAAACTCATTCTGCTACTGTGGCAGATAGGACAGAGAAATCTCTCCTAAGAACCACAGAGATCTAAGAAAATTGACTTGTTCCCCCAAAACAGTGTTCCTCCAGATACTATTACATAATTCTATTTTGTAAATAAGTTAGAAAAGACAATGGGCTAGACTTGACGTTCATTATCTCTACAGAACATGTTTAGCCAGAATATCTGAATAAAACAGGAATGAAAACATTTCATTATTGCCTAGGATATTCTAGATAATGCCTTTCATTCTGACACCTTGAATCTATGCTTGCCTCATAGGTAACATTTTCAATTATTTAAGCACTAGTTAATATCACTGGTGTCGGCATGATCAGTAATTACTGCCTTAATAATCACAGGCATCTGATTCCAGCTGCTCCCATCTTTGATATAACCATGAGCAACAACCTGGAGGACAGGAAATGACAGGGAAAGAATACAGCCGGGGGTCAAATTAATGCTGGTGTTGTACTAGCTTTCAGTGAGCTACTTCAGTCAGAGACACATGCTGAAAAGTGAGAGCACAGATTCAGAAAATGAGTGTCCTGAGAGTCTGCTACAAAATAAAATGTTTTCTGAATATGAGAATGACTTTGGAATCTAGCTCTGAAGAAGCTGGCTAAATAAATCATACCTTTAACAATCTCCTTTTGACTAATTATAAAAAGAATGCATCTGCATACTCATTTCCCTGCCAGATATGACTTCTCCTTCCCCAGATGGTTGGGGTGAGTGTCTGTGCATATGGCAAGGGAAGAACAGCAGGAAGCTCAAAGAACTTCACTGTAAAAAGAAGAAGTGAGGCTTATGGAACATGTCCTGTGTAAGACACGGTAAGGGCCATAAAACCAAAGACCAGCCAATGCAATGCTGTGTCCTGATCCCAGCTCTGCTACTGCCTCCCAGGGCAAGCCAGTTTGCTCTCTCTGGGCTTCCGCTTTGTCACGTGGAAAGTAGTGATCCAACTAAATCAGCTGAGAAAGTTTTTCGCAGCCAATGTTAAATTATCCAACACTGGGGATCAGCAGAAATGAGTAAAGCAGGTGTCAACCTGTGCATAGGTGAGAAATCTTCTTGGCAAAATAGTGTCGTTTTTCCTCCCTTTTCTTTGAAATAGATGTAAAAATCCTATGACTGCATGGATCCTCTGTGAACACCACCAAGAGACCCAGCTCTTTAAGAGACAGTTCTAGAAGAATACAGAATCTGCACCTACCATAAACCAAATATATTTTGAGGAAATTTTTGAAAAAAATAGTCCCATGATAGTCCACTACTCCATGATGCGGAATAAGAATGTGCGTGCATTTATGTGTGTGTGTGAGCGCACAAGTAAAGATGCGTATGTGTGTACAAATGTATGTTTGTGCAGGATTATGTACCTGTATGTATGTGCAGGGGTGTATGTATATGTGTATGTACATACGCACACATTGAGTGGAGGCATGAACAATCCATCTCACTCCTCTTTTCCCTTTTTGCCTACTTTGCCTCCTCTAAGTCTCTTGCACCCAGTGCAGTGCTTAAATAAATTTTTACAAAGTCCTGTGGGCAAGAAAGAGGTAAACGAGATCACTTATTTATTACTTAGGCTAGGTCACAAACTACTCTGCATTAGTGAGTGACTCTCTGCAGAATGGGGACATCAAAGGACCAGTGATGGTGAACAGGGATCAGAATTACCTGAGTAAATGTTTTTTCAATTTCTCTGTACCTTCTCCTCTCTCCCGCCCTCACTGAGATCGAATAGGACTCTTGGAGGATATTCTTAGTATGCATGTGCATACACATGTCACGGCTACTGATTTGCTGAGGTGGGGTAAAGATTAAGGATCGTGCTGCTAATGTCCTTTCCTGCTCTAACACTTTGGATATGGTTTCTACCATTGTAATACTTTCTAATTAAGGAAACACATAACCAGAGAGCAACAGAAGGCAACGCAACAGAACTATGCAGAAAACCGAGTGGCAGAGTAGATGAGGACTTCTAAAACAAGGGAAAATATTGTAACGTACGGCTAATCAAAAGTGGTGTCATGGAGAAAGTAGATGTTGAGCTAAGCTTGGTGCATAGATCTTGGACTAGGAAAGAGGTAAAGAAATGTGCTGGGAGTCAGGTATGTACAGCACCAAACAGCTGCAGAGGGTCACAGGCTGGAAAGACAGTGAGGGGGACAGCATCCATGCTGGGAGTAGTGCCAGGTTGGCTGGACCAGGATTAGTGAGGTCAGCTGACCTGAGGCTGCAAATGGCAACAGAGCCTGAACTCACAGCAGTGACTTTAGAGTCACCACTGGCTATAAAGCAAGAGAATGCTGGCAGAAAACATGGGGCTAAGGAAGCTCCTTCAGATCCTGGTGCCCAAGACCTGTCAGAGCAGAAAGTTCTCACCTGAGATTCATGAACAGACTTCAAGTATGCAACAGCCTCTACCAACATATGCCACTCTATTTCTGAATCCAGATGCATACATGGATTTCTGCACAGGAAGGAGGATCCACAGCATCTATTAGACTATCAGAAAGGTATGAGACAACCAGTTCCCTCACCTAACCAGTATACCACCCACACACAACACCTGACAACTAAGACTTCAGGAGAACAAAGTGTTATAAATTTTCCTCAGGGTCTTCTCATTGTGCACGGAGAAGATGAGTAAAGGGTAAAAGAGAGGAAAAGAGTAGCTATGTGGCACTATCCCAGGCCATCCTTGTGCAACAGGGACCCCATAGAGGGTCTGGATGGGGAGACTGAGAAGGTACCTTCCTGGGCTTGCTTTTTAGGGAGGTGTTTGTCAAAGGAAATTTCACGGACTGTGCAAAGTTGGCTGCAGCATCCAGACTTCACCTGAACTGCTTTACAATTATCATCTCCTATCAAATCTCTTTTGCATAATAAATTCAATTTCTCAGAGCTATAGTTTAATTTGATTAAAATGTATATTAAATCATTCAGGAAACTAATTTAAGGAATGAAATCTAATTAAGTATGGGGGAGCCTGGATGGCTGTCTTTTAAGCATATGACCCTTGATTTCGGCTCTGGTTATGATGTCACTGTTTATGAGTTTGAGCCCTGCATCAGGCTCTGTGCTGGCAGTGTAGACAGAGCCTGCTTGGGATTCTCTCTCCCTCTCAATCTGCCGCTCTCCCACTCACACTGTCCCCCTCTCTCTGGCCCTCCCCCACTCACACTGTCCCCCTCTCTGCCCCTCTTCCACTCACACTGTCCCCCTCTCTCTTCCCCTCCCCCACTCACACTGTCCCCCTCTCTCTGCCCCTCCCCCTCACACTGTCCCCCCTCTCTGCCCCTCCCCCACTCACACTGTCCCCCTCTCTACCCCTCTCCCACTCACACTGCCCCCCTCTCTACCCCTCTCCCACTCACACTGCCCCCCTCTC